GGAGAGAGAGAGAGAGAGAGAGAGAGAGAGAGAGAGAGAGAGAGACTCGTGTACTTTCCAAGACAGGACGCACCCAGTAAGTAGCTGTGTGCTTTACACAAGTGGCACTTAGGGGTGTGTCAACCAGAGAGGTACTAATTTGACTCTGTCCACAGACGCAGGTCCTCCCAGTGCGTTCCCCGCCCCTACGGTATGGTCACAGAGGTGGTGTGGCTCACAAGGATCCAGTCTGGTCCCTTGGGAGCTGTCCTGCTGGCAATAGATGCTAGAGAAGAGTTCTAATTTGTGGCAGTAAAAGTAGGATGTGGAGTTAGAAGCTGAGCTTTGGTCCTATGTTTCCTGCAGGAAGGGGAAGTGAAGGGCAGAGAGAGAGAGAGAGAGAGAGAGAGAGAGAGAGAGAGAGAGATTGAGAGAGGATAACTTGTAAGAGAGAACAGTCCTAGGCTGAGATAGGCAATTGTCCCTGGAGTCGCCAGTCAGCCCAGGGGGCAGCTGTAGAAATATAGATACGAGACAGAAGCCTGATGTTCCAAGGGAGCAAAGAGCAAGGAACAGAGCCCAAGGAGAGCTGCTGTCTCTCCTGTAAATTCCAGCAAACTGGAATTCAACGCTGCACATAGCAGCTTCTCCTGCAGGTGCCCTGTCTGTTCATTGTTCTCTTTCTTGGAATGTTATTAGCTAGCACTGTGTAAACTTAGAGTTAGGTAAATGCTTTAGGCAATAGAGGGAGTAGCGTGTGCTCACAGAAGTAGTTATGCACATTTCTTGCCTGCTTTTAGCCCTCAATAAATGAGTTTTTGGTGGCCTGGGGCTCACTCCATCTCCGACACCTCTGGGGCTAGATTCATTGGGTCTTCTCATTTCTTTCAGCTCTGACTTATGCAACAGGCTCTAGGGGACCCAAGGTAACTGCAGAGCAACAAGGTCCACCCTCTTGGGTCCTGAGAATCTCACAGGAGTATTGAGAAGAGAGGAGCTGCCGCTGGGGTCCCAAGGGGCCATGTCTACTTACGACAGCTCGCTGGCTTCCCCGGCAAGAGGGCAGCCGCTCTCCAGGAGGGCCCTGGGCCGGCTGTGCGTGCTTAGCGGGCTGCTGTGGTCCTGTCCAAGTAGCGACGTCTTTGACATGGTGGATGGTAGAGGCAGCAGCTCTGCTCTATGACAGCCTGGGGGCGGAGGGTGGGTTTTCCTTCAGGCCAGCCGTGCTGCAGCACCAAGGTCGCTGAGGGTGCTGGCCCTGGCCAAGTCCCAGAGCATGTGCGCTAGGGAAGGGGGAGGCTGGAGGTGCAGGTGCCCTGGGGCCCGAGGACAGTCTCTTCTCAGGCCCTCCGTGGCCCCCTCAGTGGCTCAGGTACTGTTCAGGACTCTTGGACTCCCAGCCTCTCCCAGCGTAACCCTTGCTACTGGGGGCAGAGTACACAGAGTGACAGGGACGGAGAGGGAAGTATCGGACTGGAGGTCCTGTGCTGAGCGGGCTCAGGCAGGAGAGAAACCAGAGCGACCTCACAATGGAGGCTGCCTGGCCAATAAGCTGCTCAGAACCCTGGGGGCCAGGTGGCCCTGTGGTGGTTCTCCAGGGCCACCTCCCCTGCAGGGTGGCAGGTGAGGCCCAGCTCAGATGCCACCTGTGCAGAACTTCTGCTTAGGAGGAGTGCATGGGCTGCCTGGTGTGGGGTGGGGCACAGGTCAGCTCTAGCAATCCTTTGTTCCGACAGGAGGAGGCTCGTCTCCTGCTGCTTTTGCAGTCTTCATGAGCTGCTGCCCCTCTGTCACGTGCCACTCTGCCTTGGAACCCACCAACGGTAGACTGAAAGCGCCTCAAACTGAGCTAAATAAACCTTTCTTCCTTTTAAAAAAATCACTTGTTCAAAAGATGTTTATTGAGCATGTAATATATGCTAGGAACTGTTCTCTGTGCTGGGACTATATTAGGGTAGAAAATCTACAATTTCTTCAGATTGAGTTTATAATCTGGTAAGGTCTAGGGAGGACAGGGAATAAAGAATTTGTCAAGTGTGTGTTAAACCTGGGACAGTGGTGCACACTTGTAGTCCCAGTTGCTTGGGAGGCTGAGAAAGGAGGGTTACTTGAGCCCAGAAGTTTGAGACCAAGCTGGGAAACAAAGGGAGATTCTATGAAAGACAGAAAGGAGGAGAAAAGAGAAGAGAGAAGAGAAGAGAAGAGAATGTTGTAACCTGACCAAAGCGCTGCCATCCTGTTCTGTGTGCGCCCGTCTTAGTGAACCACGTCAGCTGCTGTAAAATGTGACTTCCTGCTTCCCAAGCCCCTCATCCCATGCTTGAGTTCCAATGTGTGCTTTGTCTCACAGAACACCTGTTTCCTGAAGCCCCCAGCCCACCCTTGAGTTCCAAGGTGACTTCTGTTTCCCAAGCCCACTCCAAACCTATAACCATATTTAGTCTCCACAGACGCCATGACTTTTTGAACTTCCCGAGTTGTCCCCCCGCCCCGGCCTGCTTTGTGGTTTTCAGCTTTATAAGCCCCACGCTCCCCCCTTCAGTGCGCACTTAGGCACTTTGTGCCGGGTGTTGCCACTGGGTACCAGCTAAAATAAAGTGCTTCTTTAACTTTTGGATTTGCCCCGTTGTCATTCGATTTTTGAGCTACAACAGAGACGGGAAGGAGAATCGATCAGTTGGTAGTAAGTGCTGGAGCACCGGGAAGCGCTGGCTGGCGGGAGGCTTTCGCCATTAAGTGGGCAGCGCTGCAGGTCCGGTCCTAGGCGTCTGCAGATGCTCATGTCTGCAGGCTTGCTCTCCGGTTTGCGGCACTACTGGGGCGCTAGGTGGGGGGGTGTGACAGGCCCTTCAAGCGCCTGGAGCCTGATGGGAGGAAGCGAGTCCAGGGGTGCCCTGGAGTGGGTTTTGGGGTGAGCCCCCTTCCTGGTGACCCATGTAGCAGTGAGGAGCTTGCGCTCTCTTCCGGGCTGTGCTCCCTGCTTTGAGGCTCGGCCTCAGTGCAGGCCACACACAACAGCACCAAGCAGCCGTGGATGGAACCCTCTGAAACTGTGAGTGGGAAAAAAGCTTTCCTCTTTTTACAGTTGATGGTCTTGGATATTTTGTCACAGTGACAGAAAGCTGACACAGGCAGTTAGGGCCTGGCTGAGGAAGTGGCATTTGTGGAGAGGGCTGAGCATGTGTTTGGGAGACACTTCAAGCTGTCAGTCAGTGCCAGGGGCCCAGGTGGGAGGGGACAAGGGTATTCCAGCAGCCAGTAACGAGATGCGGCTGTTTTGGGGTGCACAAGAGCAGGTGAGCACGTGTCTGTTCACCCAGGAAGTTCTGGGTTAGTGCCTAGTGCCGCACAAGTACTGAAGGTGCCTCCCCGCACTCCTGGAAGCTCCCATTTGGATGACAGGTGACGCAGTTGGAGATGCACCTGTGCATTGTTTGTAGGCTCGAGGGACGATGAATACACGTCCTGCAGGTGCTCGTTCGCAGCACCCGAGTGGTCGAGTGTTTATTTACCTGGCCACGCTGCCGATGGGCCGCATGCTCCAAGAGTGCTGCTGCCTGGTCACTTGGGAAGGCAGCGTTTGCGCCCCGCCACCTGCCTTCCTTGCGGCCGGCCGGCTGCAGTCTGAGCACAAGCCTCTCCTCCCCTAAACTGCGCCTGTCGGGTATTTTGTCTCAGCAAAGAGAAACGTAACTAAGACAGGTGTCATTTGGATGGGGATTAATGGCAATGTGCTTTTTATAGGATGCTAATAAATTTTAAATGTAAACACTGTATTTTTGGATAATACTTCATGTATTTGAGTCAGATTTTGTAGGAGATGCTTCTAGGTCCTCGTCTCAGTCCAAGAAGCCAGTATTTGTAATCCCAAAGTTATGTTATTGGAATCCCATCAAGTTGATTGCAATCTACCACTTACAATGCAACCCACGGTGAAAATAAAGGCACTAAATTATATTTTCAGTCATCGGGGAGTCAAGGAGCTCTAAGTCCCACCACGAAGATGGCTTTCCGGAACCAACAGAGCGACCCAGGGCCTCACCTGGTTTTATTCAGTGGAGGAGTGGCTTGAGGAGGATTGACTGAGAATTGTGGGAAGTAGGTGACTACTATGAGCTGGGCTGGGTGGGTGGCCTAAATTTACATCTGCCATATGCAGAGAGGATATGCAGAGAGAGTAATCTGCATAATATAGTATTTAATGTTTTGGTAAGTCTGGTGCTTCAGCTCTGATGTAGTCTTTCAAGCCCCAGGAAGTCATGGCCTCTGTCTCGAGGCCGATCCCAGCTGGCTGGTGGCGTGGAGCATTAACTCTTCCGTTGTCTGGACCAGGCTCACTTTAGAGCAACAGGTGTAGGTTACCAGGGAAACACACACAGCACCTTCAGAGACTATCACCAGCACCTCAGCTAGACCAATACACATTGGTTAAGGCCAATTAAAGGGTAAACAGAAGTCCTAGCCAGCTCTGTACATAACAATAAGAGGAAATAGGGTCTGGCTCAGTCAAAATGGAGACAGCCGCTCTTTTTCTAGGAGAGCTGCTCAGGTGGACCTCCACAAGATTTTTCAGTCTTTTTCACTTTAGATTCAGATTGAAAAACCTTTCTTCATTCAAAATTTTAATGTCATTTAAAAAGCGGTTATTTTTTGGCCTTTAAATCAGCAGTGCTTGCCTACGGACAGCTTTGCTTTCCAGTTTTACTTATCCACAGTCAAGCATGGGCTGAACAGTTCATGGAAAATTCCAGAAATAAATGATTCATAAACTCTAAGCTGCTGTCTGAGTGGTGTGATCTTGAGCTGTCCTGCCCCAAAAGTGAGTCATCCTTTTGTCCAGCATCCGGGGGAGAGAGAGAATCAGAGAGGCAAGTGGGAGAAATGGTGACCCACCTCAGCCGAAGCAGCTGTGGGCATCGGCGTGGGCCACGGACCTCCGCTCTCCCAGCAGGGACACTGCAGGTCAGGGTGTGGATGGGCAGCCCTTACCCCTCCTGGGTGGGGCTTGGTGTTGTCTCTACCTGGGGGCAGAAGCACAGAGAAGGTGGCCAGGACTGGGGAGTAGGGCCATGTCCCTTCCTCCCCTCTCACCTTTCCTAGGCTGCAGAGAGAAAATTATGGACAGGAATAAACACGGAGGCCCTGTTAACACCAGGCTGCACGGAGCAGCAGTCACTCCCACAGGCCTCACGGGGTGACAAGCCCCCAGCCCCAACAGGGCAGCAGATTTGCCATCCTCTACTTGGCTCCCTGGACCAGTCTCCTCAGGCGCAGTCATGGTGGGGGTGGGGGAGGCAGAGAGCAGCCACCGCCAGGAGGACTGAGGTGGTGCCCTAGGGCACCAGGCCTGACGCAAGCCACGGTCAGACACGAGAACAGGCTGGATGGCAGGGCCAGGACGGCAGGCAGCCGGCACTCGCCCCGATGGCAGGAGACCCATTCATCAGCACAACCCTGTTAGCAAAAGCTCCCTGTTTCGTGACTTTTGCTGCAGAAAACACTTATAGTGTATGAGTTAAATCCACAACTTGGGGCCAGCAAGATAGCTCAGTAGACTAAGTGCCAGCTTAGGCAAGCGCAGGGGCCTGGGGTTCCATTCCTGGTACCACATGCTGTGCCGGCCCTGCCCCTGGGCTCGCTGAGCTGGTAACCAAGTCCCGGTGTGGTGGCGCCCTGAAAACAGAAGGATCACTACAAGTCTGAGCTGCGCAGTGAGACCCTGTACCAAATACATTTAAAAACCCCCAAAACTACAACTTTTATTCTTCTCGATTTAGAGATTTCTCTGCACACATCTTTTGGCGCTGGGCATTGAATTCGAGTCCTGCGCATGCTGAGCACACCCAGTACCATGCGGCTTCACGCCCGCCCCCTCCCACACAGTTGGTTTGGTTTGGTTCAGGTCTACCGGAGCTGGTGATAGCCGAGGGCGGCTTCTCTCAGGACCATGACAGGAGAGTTGTTCTGGGCTACAGGACTCCAACGGGATGACAAATTTAGACTCCACAAGGTCTCCTGTCCTCCAGCAGGCTGGCCCGGGTCTTTTCACACGGTGGTTTCACTTCCACGGAGCGGTAACAGGGAATCTCCCTGCATAGGCCACCACCAAACCCTGGCTTTCGTATTCACTGCTGTCTCATTTGGCAGGAGCAAGCTACAAGGTGCAGGTCAGAGCTAAGAGGCACAAGTCTGGACTTCACCTCGCCTCGTGACAGAAGGAGCGGTGTGGTCACACTGTCCAGGGCAACTTATGGGCCACTCTCCAACCTACTATCAGAACCCAGCATGGTGCCTGGCACACAGTAGGTGTGGAGAACAAGAGCTGCAGGGATGACAAGATGAAGTCTGTTCAAACCAGGCCAGGTCTAGCGCTGGGCTCCCGCAGCTCCTTGTGGCCCCCTGCAGCCTGCCGCTGGAGTTTGCAGAACTTGCTAAACTGTGGGTCAGGTCCTTGTACCCATCAGGAAAAGGGGAGGCCTGCTGCTTGCAAAGATGGTCCCCCTGGGAGCGCACCTCTTTGCTGCCACCTGGCGCCCCCTGGTGGCTTCTCCTTTTACAGGCCGACCAAGATGCGACACACCCTATGGATCATGGACAAAAGTTGGGGAGGATCCAGAGCCCTCCATGGGAGAGTTCTCAGTGTAATGGCAAGTGAGAACAAGGAATAGACAACAACACCACAATTTAAAAAAATTCACTTAGCTAACGAGTCCTTGCTTGCTTTACTGTGCCCAGAGGAAAGGCAAACAGCAACATCAAGACGGCATATATAACAGAGACCCAGGTCACCGGAAGCCACATGTTGGCTGGGGAGCCGCCCACTCTCACTGGGTAACCATGGTGGAATTGGAGGGCAGGAGCGAGTCCCCTGACCCCATCAGCTCGTCCAGGGCCTGGTACGTCCCTGCCACGAAGCCCACGAAGCCCAGGATGCTGATGAGGACATCCTTGGTGAGCATGAGTGGGCTGAGGCCCTCGGAGGAGTAGGTGGTGACCTCCAGGAGTGGTGGGATGATGAGGGCCAGGGCGCTGCTGCTCACGGAGCCCACCAGGGAGAGGACCAGGTCCAGGCGCGGGATGAGGACGGCCAGGATGCCTGGGAGAAAGGACAGGAAGAGATGGAGAGCCCGGGCTTAGCTGCGCTCCTACAGTATGTTCTTAAAACCCTCCTCTTAAAATGGTGAGATAGATGTTTTCAGGAGTTCAGGTACGGAAAGTAGAAGTTAAGGCTCTCGGCTACCCCAAGCACGCTCCTCAGAGCAGACGCGCTGATGTTTGGACGTATCTTTGCCCACTGCTCATATAAGCACATTCATAGGCTGGGAAGAGAAGGCTTTCTCTGCCACCTCAGGCTCCATGCTTGGGCTGGGGTGTCCCCGGCTGAACCAGTAATAGAAATACTAGCAAGAGCGTAAAGTTTATTTTTGAATTCTGGGGTCCTCAGATGATTTGGTTTCCTGACCCACCAAAGAAGCCTCTCAGTAAGGGGACAGGAGGGCTGGCCTCTTAGGGTGCTCGAGCAGCTGGCTCCTCCGCGACAGCATAGGCTCTCATCAGCCTCCCGGACGGGCTTTACGGGGCGTGTTTCCCGGATGCCCTCCTCCATGCTGCAAGAGACTTCAGATAATGCCTTCTCTTGCAGCTCCAAGAGTTCAAATAATCTTTATGCCACTGATGTGCGTCCTTTTAACATTGGCTCAAATTTATACACCTCTGTGAGGGTCCAACAATACCAGTTACCAGATTAAACTCCTACTTTATGAGGGTTCTTGTGGGGACTGAATAAAATGTTATGAAATACAAACTTGGAAGAAACTAGCACTGTGCCAGACACACAGCAAGTATTCAACCAATGTCAATCTTATGACTATTGTTTTCTAAGCCGTGTTCTCTGATTGGACATGAAGAAATCTGCCTCATAAGGAGACACATGAGAGTAGGGCTGTCCACTGAGTGAACATGCGGAAAGCTGTAGAACAGTTCTTAGGATACAGTAAGTGCTTAATAGATGCGGGCTGTCCTGGCTGTCCAGCGCCAACCTGGCTGCTTCCTGCTGGCCCTGAGGCAAGATTCTCGGAAGCCTTGTGTCCTGCTCTCTACTCACAGGTCAGGCAGACCATGGCGAGGCGGATGGACAGGTCCACGGGCAGTGCCCAACGCTCTGACACCCGGGAGGTGGCCGGGGGGATGACGATCTCTGCGGGGACATAGAACTGCAGGGCGTAGGTGCACAGGATGCCGACGATGTAGAGGAGTTTTACCGCCTGGTACAACCTGCAAAACGAACCGGAACCGGGCTCTTGGCGGCTGCCAGGGACATTGGCCTCTGCCCTGGGGATGACCCCCGGGGCTGCCTGGAGATGGCCAGGCCCGAGTCAGGGGGAAGCACAGCAGGAAACAGTGGAGGTGGAGGGGATTGGACTGCACTCAGCACAAACAGGTGGGAGGCGGCCTCGAAGGAGGAGCAGGAGGCCGGCACGTGCCGCATCTGCACCTCCCGCCTGCTTGGTGCCCAATTTCAGACTTTAGGAGAGAGGCCCAGCCAGACACTTCCTGGGGAGACCCCGCCAACAAGAACCCTGGATCGGAAAGGCTCTGGTCCTCTCTGCACTCCGTCAGCCCTTAGGAGCTCTCTGGATCTCCAAAGCTCTCGGCGTATACCGGCTCCCAGGGAGCTCCTGCTTGGTGAGACAGCTGCAGTACCCCAAGTCCTGGGTAAGAGACGGTTTAGAAACTGGCTGTGTGGGGGCCAGGGCTGAGGGGTGGGCTCAGGAGACAAGGCTGCGGCAGGCTTCAGGCAGGAGGCAGAGAAGGAGGGTGCGGCTTCTGGAAGCACTTGTTCTCTCAGGAGTCCATGACCAGTGTGCCTCATCGGTGAGCAGGCTGAGGCCAGAAAGGCAAAGTAAGTTAGCCGCAGGTGTAAGCTGGTCGGCCGTGGAACTGGGACTGGGACCTGGAGCACTGGGTCAGATTATCGGACAGCCAGGTTCCCTGCTGTCCTTTTTCTTTTTTTTTTTTTTTTCTGGTGGTAGCAGAACTGGGGATTGAACCAAGGAACACACTACCACTGAGCTATACCCCTGCCCCTCTTTACTTTGAGACAAAGTTTTGCTAAATTGCTCAGGCAGGCCTTGAACTTCTGATCCTCCTGTTTCAGCATCCTGAATAGTTGGGAGTACAAGCCTGCGCCACTGTGGCTGGCCCTGCAGTATCATTCTGACATGCCTTCTTTCCTAAGAAATCCCCAAAGGCTAGCTAAACGTGGTGGCACACGCCTATGACCCCAGCTTGGGGGAGACTGAGGCAGGAAGATTGCTGTGAGTTGGAGGCCAACCTGGGCCACATAGTGAGTTCAAGACCAATCTGAACGATGTAGTGAGACCCAGTCTTCAAAAAGACCAAAAACCAAGCAAACAAAAAGACCAAATCCTCCGAGATGCGTGTGTTACTCTCGAGGCTAACATAGAGCTTGTGCGTGTTCACAGCCTCCCTCTCTGCCCCCACCCCATTCCAGTGGGGAGGTGAAATCCCATGGTCACAGGCTGCACCCTGAGCATCTACGGGGGCATCTGCTTGTAGTAGCTGGTGGATGACTGACATTGGTAATCTTGAGGAAAGCCCCCTTTGGGAAAATTAGGGCCCTGCTTAGAGAGAGGCACATAAAATGAATCTGTGACAAAATGCTGCACATGTCATGCTGGTCCTGTGTCTATTGAAATATGTCACTGTGGAGGCTGGTGGCATCAGACTGTTCCATGAGGTATGTACAATGGTCATAAAATGCTCACAGAACCCAATGGCTCCCCCAGGGGTGTTTGTTTTATACTTGTTACCCCAGCTGCCCTGACTGAGGGGACGTGTGCCATTGGCCTGCCTAGCCAGACTTGCTCACAAGCCTCAGTGCGCAGGGCCGGAAGTGCTGCAGGGCCGGAAGTGCTGCAGGGCCGGAAGTGCTGCAGGGCCGGAAGTGCTGCAGGGCCGGAAGTGCTGCAGACCCAAGCCCTTCTCCCTCTTGGCCTCCTCTGGCGCTTGCTCCTTGACTCCTTGGGGGACCACGGGTTCTCCCTTCTGTCCGCTCCTCCGGATCACCCCTTCACCACCCTGGGCTGGTGTGGCCTCGCTCAGTACGGGAGGCCACTGCGGAGGGAGGAGCTGGGGGCCCCAGATGCCGATGGCAGCTCAGCTCTCCCCCGTCCACTTTCTAGATTTTGGCCCCCAGCTGTGGAGGGGAAGAGGGTGAGAACCCCCCGTTGCCGGCCGCCCCTCAGTCCCACCACCTGAGAGTCCACGAAGGTACCAGCAGTTGGGCAGGTTAAGGGTTATGCTGGCTCTGACGTCATCCCCAAAGCGCAGGTAACCCAGGGCCCCAATGCCAATGTACAGGGCGGTGATGATGGACATTCCCAAAGTCAGGATGGCAGGGAAGTGGCGGGCGTCCTTCATCTTGTTTTCCAGAGGCAGAACCTACAGAAGTGGCACAGTGAAGGAGAGGGGGGGTGAGACATCAGCTAACCACCAACAAAACAAAATGTGAACATAGGAACAAGAGAATGGCGGGCCGCTGCTGGGAATATATGCAGAAGAACTGGAAGCTGGGACTCGAAGAGGTAGCTGTACGCTCATGTTCGTACAAGCATGTCCTATAGTAGCCCCAAATCAAAGCCATCCCAGTGTCCATCAACATAAAACGGATGAATAAAATGAGCTATGACTGTGCGATCCAATATTATTTAGCCATAAAAAAGAAGGAAATTTGGACATATGCCACAATATGGATGAACCTTGAGGATATTCTGTGGCGTGAAATAAGCCAGTGTCTATGTGACTGACAGCACGGGCTCCTCCTGATACGAGGTATCTGGAGTAGTCCAGTGCACGGGACAGATGGCAGAATGGTCTCCAGGGGCTCGAGCGCGGGCGGGATGGGAGTTGCTGCTTAGCACCCAGGTTCACTTTTGCAGGATGCAAAGCGCTCCGGAGATGGACGATAGCAGCGGCTGGACGGTGGGAATCTATTTGCCTGACTCACACATCAGAGTGGTTAAAATGGAAAATTTGATATTAGGTGTATTTTACAATGAAAAAAAAAAATAAAGGGGAAAAGAGGGGAGGAGAAAAGGGAAGTGGAGGAAAAGGGAGGAAAAATAAACCAGAGGAGAAGGAAATGGGGGAAGCAAGGGCAAGGAAAAGCAAAGCCCGGAGTACAGGCTGAGTCCGGCCCAGGAGCTCCGTGGTTGCGGATGGAGCCCCGCGCCCTGGAGCCGGTTCTGCCAGCAGGTGGTCCTTGCTTACTTGTTCGTTACGTATTAATTTACACATCCAGAGAGATTTCCCCGCGTGAATGCGGCGTGAGCTGAGCCGGCGCGCCCTCCGCTCCGCCGAGCCGGTCTCCGGCTGCCGCCCGCGTGCTCTTGGGCTCACGTCGTTCGTGTCCACGCAGGGAAGCGGGTGGCGCTTGTCCGCCTGCGCCCGGCTCGCTTCGCTTCGCACAGCGGCTGCCGCTTCCACGGTTCTTGCTCCCGGCTGCGCCGTGTGTACACAGCAGTGCCCTTCCGTTGAGTGGCACCTAGTGGGTTCCACGCCCCAGCTACTGTGGCCAGGGCCGCAGGGTCGCGGGATCTACAGGTCCCTTCCGGGTGCTGACCGCATTCTCTTCTCTCCAGAGTGGGACCGCTGGGCCACCTGTGGATCGAGGCTTAGCTTTTGGGGCGCCCCGCGCTGTTCTCCAGGACAGCGGCACCGGCTCCCCGAACCCTCTAGCATTTACTCTGTTTCTTGTCGTAGCCGCCCTTCCCACCAGGGTGAGATGATGCCCCGCTGTGGCTGCGCTTGCCCTGCTCTGAGGACCGATGATGCCGGGTTTTTTCCGTCTGTCTCTTGGCCATTTGCATGTTTTCTTCTGAGAAGTGTCTGTTCAGGTGACTCCCCCGTTTGTTGGATTACTTGGGGTTTCTGTCATTGTGCTTCGTGAGCTCCTTATGTAACCTGCATCTGAACCATTTCTCAAATAGCTTGACCAATGGGATGCGGATTTGTAGGCTCTCTCCCGTGGCAGCCGTCCCCACGCTGTTGGCCGCTTCCTTGGCTATGCAGAAGCAGCAGTGAATTCACCCCATTGTCAGTTTTTGCTTTTGCTTGCTGCGCTTTGGGGATCTTACCGGAAAACTGTGGCTTACACCAGTGTCGTGAAGTGCTTCCTCTGTGCTTTCCTCTAGTCATTTCAGAGTTGGGGGCTCGCCTTGAAGTCTTTGATCATTTTAAGTTTGTTTGTTTATTTATTTTGTGGCACCAGGGATTGAACTGAGGACCTGAGCTAGCTATCTGACAAAAGTTGAGAAGGTTTTTGTTTGTTTTTGGCTGGCTCAGGCTGCCTTAAGGGTCTGGTAAAGCATGTGGAGCTGGGGATCAAACCCCGGTATTGTTCACGTGACTGTGTTTGTATAAGCAAGCACTTAAACAGCTGAGCTAACTGGCAGGCCCCCACTGAGCTGATTTTTGTGCAGGCAAATAGAAGTCAAGCTTCCCATGTCTGCGTCGGGAGAAGCATTGTGGTGACGAATTTCCTGCTTTTCTCTTTCTTCTCTGTCTCCCAGTTTAAACTCAAAGGAAGCCCAAACCCTAAAATGTGCAGTAGGTGCAGACAAAACGAAACATTCCAAGAGAAAGCCTTCCTCTGGCCAGAGAACCCGGAATGGGACTGCAGAGGGAGAACGGGCCTGACCAGTCCCTGCTTTTCTGTTCGCTCTAGGCCAGTCTCCCTAGGCAAGGCCCTGAGCAGAGGAACTCTCCGGGAGTCTGAAGAGTGTAGCGAGGTCAGGATTAGGTACATTGTTTACAGGGCCTCGTGTAAAAGGAAAATGCAGCGTCCCTTGTTTAAAAATCAAGAACGCTGGCCGGGCATTGGGGGAACACACCTGTAATGCCAGCACTCGGGAGGCTGAGGCAGGAGGATCCTTGCGAGTTAGAGACCAGCCTGGGCTACAGCGTGAGCTCAAGGCCAGCCTGAGCTGCATAACAAGACCCTGTCTCAAAAGACCAATAATAAATAAATAAATAATAAATATCAAGCCTGTCAAGGTGGAGAAAGCAGAGCATCAGGGCACGCAGGGCTCCTGGAGGTGCTGCGTACAAGGCTGGGCAAGCTCCCTGCCACCAAGCGGCTCTGGAAAGTCTCTGTTGTTTATTTCTTCCTCTTCTTCCTCTTCTTCCTCTTTCTTCCTCTTCCTCTTCCTCTTCTTTTTTTTTCAGAGTTCCTGAGCCATGGGAGCATGTGA